AGGTGGGAGAGATCAGCTCTCTTAGTAGCTTGGGTATGGAAAGCAGGATGATAGAAAGTGAAGTAATCAGCATCCGTTCTGTTTCTATGGAGAAGGGGATAGTCACCAAGATTCACTCAGTTCCTGTTCATGTGCAGCCAGCTTTCTCAGAGATCTCCACCTTGGATCCCCCTCCCCCTCATACGGAAGATTCATCACTGAGAAGAAAATCGTGAAGAAACAGGTCTGTGACAACATCAGTTCTTTCTTTAATATTGTTTGTTGATTTTTAATTAAATGTTTGGCTATTTCACATCACATATTTTCGCATGTTGATTGAACAACTGCCAACGTTGGAATAGCTGAAAAGAACATTGACACTCTCCACCAATATATGGCATGCAAATAGATGCCTGAAAAATCATTAATGCATAGTTTACACATTATGCTCGGGACATTAAATTGTCTTCGATGCAAGATGTTCTTCCAAATTTAGAGAAAAATTCGGCAATTTGTTGTGGATTGACCCGATAAGGAGAAACGAATAAATAAGAACATTGAAAAGATATGTATCTTGCAATGCAGTGTACTCATGAAATTAGGTGCCACAGACATGTCTTTTATGTCAAGGATCTTGGTTGCAAATGCAAATACCCTGTGATTGGTGAGACAAAATCATTGTCTCCCAAGGTTTTTGATATCCTAGTTTGAAGAAAAATATTATTTCTTTGAGCATATTCAATGTCACCAGTCCTTATATTCTGTTTCCGTTTTTCATTGCTTGTGTGTTGAAGCAGGAAGGAGCAGATGGAGAAAACAAGAAGGACGTGGTCACAACTCCAGCTAGGAGATCAAGCCGAATTCGGAACCGTAGCATCGTATCTCCATGAAGCATTTTCCACTGAACTGTCTTAGAAAAGTCTATTCAATGCCTCTTTAACTTTAGCTTACTTACGTTGAAGGAACTGATTCCTGTAAGAACTGCATAATTAATTGATTACTTTACCGCGGATGGGATAAATCTTCCAGCCCTTTTGTCCTTTTAAATTATTGTTTACTCTTTTTTATTGTGTCTGCTTTTGCTTTTGATGAAGCGAGAAAAGGATGTGCTTTCGTCGGGGATTGTGATTGCTGTTGTTTGTTATTGAAATTCTTAAAAGAATAAATTTAAAATAATATTTGAAAGTTTTTAATTTATTTAATTAAAAAATTAATTTTTTTAACTTTAAATATTTTTTTAAAAACTATATTATTATAGATTATTTTTTAACTTTAAATAACTTTTTAAAAACTATATTATTATAGATTATAAATCAATTATTCAGTCTCAACACCCATCTATGTTATTGTGATGGCTGCTGTTTGTTACTGAAATTCTTAAAAGAATAAATTTAAAATAATATTTGAAAGCTTTTAATTTATTTAATTAAAAAATTAATTTTTTTAGTTTTAAATAATTTTTTAAAAATGATGTTATTGTAGATTATTAATCATCTAATTATCCAGTCTCAAATAGTAATCTATATAACCATATAAATCTTTTAAATCTCTAGAATACAAAGATTTCTATTACTAGAGTGTTAAATATCTATTATGAAACTTGCATAGGTTTTTTTTTTTTTTTTTTGGAACTTGCATAGATTTTTTTTTTTTATCTAATAGACAACTCCTTAAAAATAAAAGGCATAGCTTTATATTTATAAAAATTCCTAAAAACTATATAAATGACAAAATATCTATTTACCCCTTAAATAATATATGGATATTATTTAAGAATAATTTTAACTATTTCATTAATCAAGTCACTACTTAATTATTCTAGGACTAGAATTATAATCTCTGAATTAAATACATTATGGTACTTAATTTCAAAAATTATTTTCAATTAAGTTACATTTAATTAATTATCGTAGTTTAACTTATGACTAATGATTCTTAATGTGTGTGAATCATTATGTTTCTAATATGTTGTCCATATATAAATTATAATTCTAAATAAATATAATTTAATAAATAAATAAATATAATTTATTATCAATTCAATAGTTGATTAATTTATATTTAAAAATCAAGTGCATCATCTAACAACTTGTCATAATTCTCAAATATTAGAAAAGTTATAAGTGGTTTTTAACAACTTGTCATAATCCTCAAATATTAAAAAAATTATAAGTGGTTTGACTTAATCTTTTAGTGACCGTTTTGTCAGCATAATTATTATCTCTTTATTAATAATGTTATGATTTAGATATTTTAGCATGAAGTGTATCTGTTATGTCAAATCATATTTGTTTGTAACATTATAGTTATTGATAATTTAAATAAGATTTGAAACTCTTTTCAAATCTTATTACATCTTGCATAAGGATTTAACAATCAATGCTATTTGAGAACATATAAAATATTTTTTCTAATTCATTTAAGGTGATGAATATTCTCTTAATCACTCAAATACCTTTATATAGTTTATGTTATATCCATTGTCTGCCCATTTATTACTTTTACTAAGATAACATAATACTTTTTATATAAGATAACTTAATGATCTCATATCTAAGAATCATTTACATAACTGTCATGTAAGTCTTTTCATAGATACAAGTGATATCTTCATATGAAATTTTCATGCGGATCAGCTCAGTATACATACCTTATAACAATCACCTACATATTAGTTTTAAGTATCTCTTATACTTCAACTTATGAAATAATTAATTTTCTTTATAAAGAAAAGAACATAATATGTATTAGTTTCTATGACTCTAATAAATGTCTAATATTTAAAAGAGTATTGACTGAATATTTTAGAAATAATACTTTGATGCACTAAGAATATTAAATTATAACAACTTTATAATTTCATTTTCAAAGTATTTTTGTCCCATGAATTTTATCTTTACTATAGATTCATAAATCAAATAGTAGATTCATTAATATAATAATATATGAATATTAAAGATAAATTAAGCTTTTATTAATAATAAATATATAGTTACATGAATATAATAATGCCACGTGTAACCAACCAATTAACTGCATGACACATTAAATTAACAAGTGTTACTTATAAAATAATCTAATGATATTTAAGTTAGTTTAAGGTTTTTCACACACACACACACACACATCATGAATATACCAACTAGTTATAATAAACATTGAAAAGCATGGGGGATTTACTTGCAAATTTAACTGTAAAGTCCATCATAAAACACCATGAACTCACTACTCAAAATTTTTTTTTGTCTTTTTTTTTAACCTTAGGGCCAAATTATAGGCTAATTTATGTTCATTTATTAAGGAATGGTAAGATTAAAAGATAGGGGATCAAATTGAAAAAAAAAACACAAAGAAAATGGGTGGCTTTTTTGAACTTTGGGTGAAATGTTCATTATTGTTTTCATACTTTTCAAGTTATAAATATTATGGTCTCACCAATTTCTAAAATTTCAAAATGATGTCAATTTTAGGCTAATACTTCATTATTATTCTCATATTTTTTCCAATTATAAATACATAGTCCTACCAATTTCTAAAATTCCAAAATAATATAAATTTTAGCCTAAAACTTTATTTTTCTTATTTTGAAGTCCATGATTTGAGAGATGAGAGAGAGAGAATCATCATATTTTAGTAGTAGAGAGAGAAAATCAATATTAACACCAATTTCAACCACCAAAATAGTTAATTTTGATGTTAGCAAGTTTTATTTGATGAAAAAAGCTTCATTTAGATGTTTTTTCATCTTCAAGTTTTTCAAAAAACCAAATTTAAGTTCAGAAAGATTTTTTGTTTTGGTTTGATTTTGAATTTTTGTGTGGTTTTTAAATTCTTTAATGCCATTAATAAGTTTATCAAGGTCTTTAACATATTTTGAGGTGTGTTAGATCCAAAATCATTAGCCTTGATTTTTTGGCCATTATTATAGTTGGAATTTAGAGAAAAGCAAATGATAACGCATTGTTTGACCTAATCTTTTTAAGACAACGGAGAGTGGATGATATTTTATTTGCCTTATTAGCAATTAAAAGAAATAATGGTCCACATACTTAGCTTTGTCTTTCTTTGTTTTGTTTTGTTTTTTTTTTAATTTTTTAATTTATATTTAAATTAATATCTTTTCTTTTTGATTTTTTATTTTGTTTATCTAGCTTTTTTTCAAATAAAAATTGCTTTTGTTTTTTAATTATACTGTATGTTTTAATTTTCAAAGAGAATATTTTAATTCATCTATAAATTTATTTTTAGGTTTTATATAAATAAAATTTATTTTTTAAAATAAAAATATTTATTTTTAGATAATATTTCTAATATGTGTATCCATACATAATATTCTTTTCATTGTATTTTGTTTAATCAATTTCATGAATTTCTATTTCTATCATCATTTAATTAAATAAAAAATTAATTTTGATAAATAAAATTATTATATACAACCAATCAAATTGTTACGAGGTCAAATATTTTATTCTACATTTATTTTTTTGAATTTTTTTTAGTTTCATCTTTAATTATCGTTAATGACCTTTTTAACTTACTTATTAACACATATAGTTTTTTATTTATATTTACTTATTAATACATATAGTTTTTTATTTATTTTATTAGATGCATGCATAAGTTTTTCTATTTTTATTTATAATTTGTTTTATATAAAAAACACATAAAAAACCTGGATATTCAATTTTTTCGTTTAAAAATAAAAAAAACACCCGACTCACGAACGAAATGAGGGTCATTATACTACATCTCATGATTGGTGTCCTCCTATCACCTAGATTGCAAAATAAGAACATGAATGATATTATGCAATGGTAAAAAAAAAAAAAAAAACCGTTACATAGGTACTTTGTTAAGGTCTCCCTATTTCATGATCACATGTGGAAGACAAGACTGGATATGAAACGTGAAAAGTGCTTGGAATGGCCTGGCATGCTACACAAAAGAGTATAGATGGGCATTTTGTTTCAGATAAAGTTGCAGTAGGGGCCTTTGTCCATTAGTACTAACAAATCACTCAATTTCAAAGTAAAGATTTTCAGAAGAGATCCATGCTTATCCTTATGTTGAAGGATTGAAAGAAACAGAAATATAAACCTAGGAGAACTTGTTTCTAAGAAAGAACATTTAAGCTACTATGTCAATGGAAGTCTCCATTTCTATTCTTTCAGAAAATAAAATTTCTCATCATTTTCCATCATCTACAATTTAACATATCCTCTCTCATTGCTTTATCCTTGAAGTATATATGAATATCTCTACACACACAAAAAATTTGTTCCACACAGCAAGTCAAGCAACCTTGTGAAGTTATACATCAGAACTTCTTGTGCAGTGGAATTGGAGGTGGCCTAGAACTATTTAAGAAGCTGCCTATTCTACCTCGAAAACATAAAGATGGCATAGAACCTCTTGATACCTTCTTCGCTATGATGGGCTTAGGAAGTGTGTATGATTTGTGAGGATCCAAACCATTCGCGTAACTCTTAGATGCCTTCCCTTTCCTTCTATTACGCGTTTCCTTCTTTGCAAGATCTTCAGTGCTTGCTACCCTAGATAGAGATGTAAAAGACTGGGACTTGCCTTGATAATATTTAGATAATCCTCGCCTGCATAGAGTAGAATACGACCAGAGGATTTAGGAGAGTTTCGACACGAAAGAGATCAAAATTTACAAAACTGCACTTTCTATTATTTTCTCCAAACAAAAGGGCTGGGACTAATTGTGTTAGATTCTTATATAAGATGATCAAACAAGTACTTACTTGATGGGCAGATGGGACAGGAGCTCAGATAATTCAAACATAGGATCATTAGAGTTTGAGGATGAACATGCATCATCCACCATATCTAATGAAGTTGTTGATCCATTAGTAGTACTTGAATTATCCAGGGAAGATGTGTTGAAGGAATCATCCTCATCACCACCACCACCTTCCGTGCTCGCCCATTGATCCTTATGTTTTTCATAGCTATCATCATTTCTTCGTGCTGTACATGGAGATTGAAGCATTTTTTCTTGACCTTCACCCATTGACGAGTAGAGTTGTGAAGAAGACAAAGGATAAAGCGCATAAAGTAGTTCCCAAAACTACAGTATATCTCACACATATAATGAGCTTGGAGACATTCTCTAGAAGGCACAACTTATATCCATATACAGAATATTACATGCATAAAATAATAGATGGATTAGGTTGGTAAATCTTTAAGGGGAATGAAACCAAAATGACAGAGAGTAGCATAAACTTTTAATGATTTTCATGGATAATAACTCCACACGTCACAAGCCCATTATGTGACCTTCGACAATAATTTCATTTGGATGGATTGAAAACTCATTTGGCCTGAGTTGCACAAAGAATTCATGCACTAGGTTTGTGTTCTTGATCAGTAAGGTCACTTTCCCAAGTCATGGTGACATATTTTCTTATTTGCCTTATCCTTAGATTCGATATTATCTATGGTTTGGATTTCTTGACCTTGTCTACTATTATAAGGAAAGGATAAGCATTATAGCTGTGAAGCCATTATCCATATTCATGAGTCACCATACAATGCACCCAGGGCCCTACTGCTAGCACTTTGTTTACTGTTTTCTTTCCTTTTCCGTAGTCTTTGCTAGGGTTTGGTTTTTTTAGGTAACAAAGGTTTAGGAATTAGCAGGGCATGGATACTAAAAGAGGCACTGTTCTAGTCTTCTTCTGGGCTTATTTAAACAATATCTTGGACACTTGCCTTGAGAATAGTTATTATAAGAGTCTATTTCTGTTCTTGTATTTCCTCCTAGCGGGTTCCAGCTTATATATTGTTATGGTATTTCTTTTTTCTGTTTCCTTTTATTCTATACATATCATCACTTTTTGACTCAATGATATTTCTATGTCATTAAGCAAACAATAGACCGAAAAAAGGGATTTAATTGTTTTGCATATTAAAAATTGACCCAAAAAAACTAAAAGAGAGTAGCATTTTAATGTGTAAAACATGTCTCATCTTCTCACATTTCATTATTCGTAGAACTATTCACTTGGCAAATTCCCTTCCTCAATCCCTTAAAGTTTATATTTGTTTCAATTTATTCATTTTCTTTTAATTTGGATCTATCAAAAGTTTTGCTGTAATTATCCTAATTTTTTTCATTCTCTTTAAAATTCATAATATCACATGTCCGAGGTGTTGAAGATTGTTTAAAGATTAGATGAGAGGTCAATTTTGCATGAAAAAAATTCTTAGTAATTGTAAAAAAACAAAATTAAAAGACAAGATCCAATATTGACATAGACAAAAATTAATCCTTCAATTTTATTTTTACATTCAATCCCATCTTTGGATTTTTTGTTTGGCTCCTGAACTTCATTTGTTTAATTTTTTAGTCCTTAGATTCTGAAACAAAAAAAAAAACAAGTTATTAAAAAAATTTGAGGAGGGACAAAACTCTTAGATGATTGTATTTCTACCGCTAATAATTTTGAATTTAGTATTTGTTGATTCAACTTTGAGACAAACTTAATAAAAATAATTTTCATCTTCAATTCAATGATGATGAAAACAAAAGATCAAAGCTTTGACAAGTTTTTTATTTGATGATTTTAAGTTTTTAGGCTAATTAAAATTTGTTTTGTTGTTAGAAACATGATTATAGAGATTTATGAAGGTTTTTTTTTTTTTTTTTTTTTTTTTTTGTAAAAACCAATGGTTGGCATATGGTTTTTTGAGGTTAAAAACATTGTATCCTGAATTTTTTGTCACATAAATCACATTTAATGATCGAGAAAGATAATAGATAAAAGATATATTATTTGTTGAAGTGGATAACATGTCGCTGATCTAATTTAAATAAAAATTAGACTAGATTAATTTTTTTTTAAAAGTACCAAACACTTAGATTCCGGTTTCCAAGTCATTGAGGGCTTGGATTTTTATTTGGGCTAGGTGTTGACCCATTCTTCTCGTATATATGCACTTGGTTCTTTAATTTTCTTATCTCATTTTTTCTCCATTTTACTTATTATAATTAGATGATATTTTAAAAATGAAGTTATTTAAATAATTATCTAATTACAACATTATTTTCAAATAATATTAGTGTTTTTAGGATAATTATATATAAACCTAACATGCATAGTTTTCTAAATACGGATAAAATATCTATATATTTTTTTATTTTTTTACATAATTTAAACTATTACTTTTCTTATGAAAATATATTTTTATTACTATATAATAAAATAAAATAAAAAATTAAAGAGCTTCTCACATCATGAGATTAAATATCTTATTTCAACTTATTGGCTTTAGTTTCTAATTAATGTTAGCTAATATTTTATGTTTTATTGATTTATATAATTTTTAATTTTTTCTATTAAATGCACACATCAACTTTCCAATACTTAATAAAAAATTTTCATGCAATGCTTGTTTATTATATATATATATATATGTATATATATATTAACTTGCAATAAACTTTCCAGTTTATTTTATACTAACAATTTTTTTTTTCTATATAATTTCAATTATTACTTTTTTTATGAAAATATATTTTTATTTTTTTATAATTTAATAAAAAAAATTTAAAAAGCATCCTATGTCACAAGATCAAATATTTTTATATGCATATATCTTTTAACTTCTTATTTCAGTCTTTCATTAGTATTGACAAGTATTTTTATGATTTATTGATTTATATAATTTTTAATTTATTTTATTAAATGTATGGTTAAACTTTTCAATTCTAAATTGAAGTTTTTTTATACCATATCTATGCATTCTTTTTATATTAAAAATTAACTTAATTGGAATCTTACCCACCGCAAAGAGAATATGTGGCTAGTTAATATATAATACAACTCCTTGGCCCTTTACTGTAGTAATGAACAATGAAATGCCAAGGTTTTTTTTTTTTTTTTTAATTTGATGCTTAAAATTTCTTTTTTTTTATTGCATTTTTCCATACCTAATTTGATGACTAATTTATCAAAATTGTTTAATAAAATAAAAATTAAATTATGGGGGATTGAGTGTGAAACATGAAGAAATATTATGACCCATCTAAAGTTAACAGGAAAAAAACATTTCTGTTTTTCAATTTTTATTCTTCACCTCTAACAATCCCTATAATTTCTTAAAATTTTATTTTGGTTTAAAATTTTATTTTTTAGTTTTTGAGTTAGATTAGGAGAGAAAAGTCATTAAAATCCAGTGAAGAAAAAGAAAATTATCAATTGACACATACTTTAACAGTTAAAAAGATTCATTTTAATTTTTATAAATTTTATTCGATGAGAAAAATTTAATAATAACTATATTGACTAAAAAAACAAATTAAGGTTCATAAAAATAAATCTTGATTGATGTAATTTTTAGTTTTCAAACCTTTTCTAAGATTTTTCTTTTTAAATATGTTTACAAGTTTGTTTTGTGATATTTAAGAGGTGTTGTTTAGGTGGTTTTATGCGAAAATATGATAACAAAATGAGTTTCTAATTCTAAAAACAGTAATTCATAATTTTTTGATCATTACTAATGACTAAAATATAATAATAAAAAATATTGTTTAAATAAAAGATGGGTTTTCATGTGTCCAACTAGTTAAGATGATGGATACGAATTTTCCCTACACGGGTTTGTGTTCCATGTTTTTTATTTTTTTATTTTAAAAAAAAAATTATTTAAAAAAACATCTTTATTTGTTCTTTTTTCCCCCTTCATTGTTGATTCTTTTTTTTTTCTAATTTGTGGCTTATTTTTTAATTTTTAAAAATGTTTGGGAATATTAGATAAATAAATTTAAAAAACTGTTCTTGAATCCAACTCAGATTAATATATATATATATATATATATATATATATATATATATATTTTATTTCAACATATTATTAACTAAAAAATTACTTTAAGCTCCACAAAATCATATATAGAGTTTTTTTTTTTTTAAGTTTGACTAATGACAATTCTAAATACATTTTTCAATGACTTGATGAACATTATTTTTTTAAGCAAAAATGTTTTTAGCTGTACCCGTAACACAGTACAAGAAATAACACAATCTATTTGGTAATTATCTATGGGCGATTGAAAAAACGGAGGGCAACCAATCATACCATGGGCACCACTATCTCTATACAGAAAACTTTTAAAAATTATTAATTATAATAGTCTCCCTAATATCACCAGCTCTAAGCGACTTTTCCCGACTCAGGATTTTCTTAGAGCAACATGTTTGATTTAAATTATTTAATTTAAATAAAGAAAGACAAGGATTTATTGAATACATGGAAATTTTATCAATAACTTCAATGCACGGTTTTGAGTCGTGGTGTTTGTTGTTCTTTCTTTTCCTTTATCTGTTTTACTTATTTTTTATTCTCTTTTCACTTCCTCTCTTTGAGAAAATAACATTAACCTTCTAGTGAATCTCATTAATTAATTCAATAAATTATTATGTGTATTAAATAAATTATCAATGACCTTGATTAACGGTACTTGTCAAAGGTTACAATGTTGCTTATTATTAAAAATAACCTTCAATTTGCCATAAGACTAGTCATCTCAGTTTTACAACTAATTAGGAAGAAACAAAAGGATGAGCACATCCATTATCAAGATCCCCTAACAACAAGCATCAGTCAGTAAAAAGTAACACCGCCACAATTTTAGAAAAATAAGGTGTTCTTTGGTATAGTTTTTGTTCTACAAAACAAAGATACGTAAACTAATTTCTTTTCTTTTCTTTTTGATAAAATAAATTTGGCAATCAATTTTGAAAATTTATGAAAACAAAAAATAAATTTTAAACATTTACAAAACATTTTTTTTTACACCATTACCCTATGTTTTCGGAGTTAAATAAGGTTTTAGAGTCAGAAAATAAGTGTAGATCAAACTTAGAGTTCTAGACAGTGTGTGAGGGTGGTTGAGATTCAACTCGTGATCAAGTCTGAGTTGCTCAAAGGTTCGGGCCAGTGCCAATACCATGTTTTAGGGTGTTTAATATTCTATTCAGATCCATTTGGGTTCATCTAAGATTTGGCTTGGGAGGCTCAAGATTCAACTTGGAACCATACATTTTGGGACTAAGTTTATAGCGATCAAAGTTCGGGATAAAACCTGGTCAGGGGCAATCGAAAGTCAATCTTAGACCAATTCTAACATAGACAACAAAAAAACCAACACACAAAGACAACAAGCAAAGAAAAATATAGAATTATTGTCACAAAGGATTTTCACATAAGAACTTGAATTCATATTTTATAATCGATATGATCTTTATCTCTTAAAAATTTACAATTCATCATTAAAAGATTTACACCTAACTATTAGACTTTTCAAACCCATCTACATTAAGTCTAAGGGTTTAGATTAAAAAGGATGCTTAATATCCGTTTGTTTACACAGTTGTGGCAGCATTTTAAGTAAATCGTAGATTTAAGTTTGGTAAAGAAAAAAATCACATGAACAATGAAGACATGGAAGTGCAGAAAAAGAAGAAGAAGAAGAAGGAAAAGAAGGAGAACGAGGGGTTGGGGAAAAATAAAGAAAGATTAGTTAGCTTTGTCTAATCAATACATATGCACCATTGTCTTTGTCATTTAACTCCAGCATTAAGCAGACACTGAAAAGAGAAGGAGTAGAATAAAGGAATAGCTAGAAAAGCGCTCAACTTTCATATTCATCCTCAGGAGCAAGAGACCATAGGTAAATTTCTCTTTATTCCCTCCTACTTTGCTTTATTATCAACATTATACTGTTCAAGTGAATTTTAATTCATTTGAATAATGTAGCAACATGCGTTAATTTAGTATAAGCATGTTGCTTTGTCTAGACGAGTTACTGGCTTGGGACACTGATCGGGCTGGGTTGGCTAGATTTAGCCCAACCCATATGGGTCAGATTGGGTCTGGCCCCAACCTAAATTCATTGAACCGAGTCTGTCTCAAATCTAAATATCTTGAATTGGGTGTGACCTAGTAAAATAAAAAATCCATAAAAATTTCACATATATTATGTTTTATTTAAAAAACTAATGTTTAACATGATTCAATGACACTACATAATTACATTTAAAGGAGATCATATGATGACTTAGCATTTACAGAATTTGATAATAATTCCAATTTTATTCTTGATAATATTTTACCTGATGTTGTTGCACACTCAGTAAACCATAAAAACTGTAGTTCTTGTTGGATATGTTTTATACATAATGAAATTGCACATAGTTTAATACAACAATAAAATATACTTTATATAAAGTATTGTTTATTTCATGATGTAATAGTCGTAGTTAAATTGATAATATTTTAATGCAAAACCATCAATATTAATATATATCTTTTTTAATTATTTTATAACCTCAGTTTGAAAAGTATTTTTTGGTATTGTTTGTTTAGGAGGTTGTGTCTACGTTTTGCTTAAAATGCAAATGCAACATGTTTGGTAATAAAAAAAATAATTTACTATTCTTGGATCCCACAGTGATTTACATTTGAAATGTAGGGGGAATGAGAGCAGCTCTTTGTTGCTTCTTATGTGAATGAAGTTCAGTGAACAGTGGAGCATGTTTCCATTGTCCACGTGAACAGTGGAGCCATGCTCCACTGTTTCTTCCAGATTGGATCTGGTTCAAAACTCAAAATGTATTAAACAAGGTTTGACCTAGTAAAAATAAAAAAATATTTTTTATTTTTAATTGTGTTTTATTTGAAAAACTAATGTTTAATATTATTCAATGACACTACATAAATTAGACAGAGATTGTTTGATGACATAACATTTACAAAATTTTATCGCAATCCCAATTTTGTTCCTGATTATTTTTTGGTATTGTTTGTTTAGGAGGTTGTGTCTACGTTTTGCTTAAAATGCAAATGCAACATGTTTGGTAATAAAAAAAATAATTTACTATTCTTGGATCCCACGGTGATTTGCATTTGAAATGTATGGGGAATGAGAGCAGCTCTTTGTTGCTTCTTATGTGAATGAAGTTCAGTGAACAGTGGAGCATGTCTCCATTGTCCACGTGAACAGTGGAGCCATGCTCCACTATTTCTGCCAGATTGGATCTGATTCAAAACTCAAAATGTATTAAACAGGGTTAGTTTTTCAAATAAAACACAATTAAAAATAAAAAAATATTTTTTATTTTTAATTGTGTTTTATTTGAAAAACTAATGTTTAATATTATTCAATGACACTACATAAATTAGACAGAGATTGTTTGATGACATAACATTTACAAAATTTTATCGCAATCCCAATTTTGTTCCTGATTATATTTTACCTGATGTTATTGCCTTAAAAAACCAACACTGTAGTGCTTGTTGGATGTATTTCATATGTGATGGAATTGTAGATAGTTCAATAGAATAATAAAAAATATTTTATATAAATTATTATTTATTTAATGATGTAATAGTAATAGTTAAATTTACAATATTAAAATTAAAACTATCAATATTAATCTATATTTTTTAAAATTATTTTATAACCTCAATTTCAAAAGCATTCTTAACCAAATACATTAAATTATTTTTTGTTCAACCTTAATTTTAACTATAGTTTTAATCAAATATACATAAATATCAAATCAATTTTAACAAAAAATACTTTTTATAAAATAATTTTTTTTCAAACCGCAATCACAAGAGTTACCACAATACCAAACAGTAATCAAACATATTAAATTACTTTTTGTTCAATTTCAATTTTAATAATAATTTTAACCTAATATATATTTTTCTAAACTAACTTTAACTAAAACTATTTTTTATAAAATAATTTTTTTAAATTATAATATCAATATTTATCATGATATCACACACACTTGGGTATAAGACGCGAGAGATTCAAATCTGATAGACTTGATCTAGGTGCCAAGAAGTCGATTCAAGGTTCAAAACGGGACCTAGAGTTACTTTAGGACCAGGTTCTAGGCATTTGAAGTTCAAACATAAAAATAATATTCAAACAAACAAAATAATTTATATTTTTATTTGATATAAAATTCTATATTTTTCAGAAGAAAAAAGAAAGGGTCGCAGGGGCAAGAAACTAGAGGGCGTCGAAGAGAAATGATGACGATAGGATAAGAGAATTGACTTTCGTGGATGTCATCCACCACAAAAACCAAAAAGGGCTAAAGATGACCATGGATGATGTTTGATGGGCAGTTTAGCCTCCACCACATCATCTTTAATGTAAGGCCGTACCATCTAATCTTATCCATGGCCACGTGAAACCAATTCGATTATCATCATTATGAATAATAATAATAATAATAATATTCATCTAGATAATACTAAAAACTTAAAATTAAAAAATTTATTTTATTTATATTTTTATATTTAAATTCTTAATTACTTATATGATGGTTACTGAAAATTTATATAGTTATTAATTTCAGAATTTATAAAATTAATTGTAATATATACAAGTTAGGCCAATAATATATATAAAATAGCTTAAATATTTATATTAATTTAAAATAATAATAATAATATAATAAACATTATAAAAGACTTGTTCCAATACCCAAACACTTATAATAATAATAATAATAAGAAAAAAATTATATTAATCTAAAATAATAATAATAATAATAATAATAATATAATAAGCATTATAAAAAACTTGGTACAATACCCCAACACTTATATTAATCTAAAATAATAATAATAATAATAATAATAATATAATGAGCATTGTAAAAGACTTGGTACAATGCTTGATAAGGTCAAGCCAATCTCTAGCACAAAAGTGTCACGTATGTGGTAGACAATATATAATTGCTTGCTCTTGCGGGACCTTCGTTTATGTTGGTTGGGAATCGAAGTAATTTTTTTTTAATTTAAAAATTATTTTATTAAAAATTATTTTTTAATACTTTTAATTTTTTTAATGTGTTAATTTTAAAAAATAAAAAATATTATTTTCATATATTTTTAAATAAAAAATATTTTAAATCACAATTCATATCATAATTCTAAACCATATCTACAATATAAGAACAAGACAGGTGACGAGTATACTCACAAATTATGATGAGAATATTGGTGAGCTTTCTAGAATGAAGTTATAGCATTAAAATTAAAATTAATTAAATTAAGTTTTTCATGCCTTTTCCTTTTATCATAATATTTTTTTATTTATTCTATTATATTGTCATAGTTTTATATACTGGGATGTGTTTCTCTGTTGAGGGATTTTTCTTACATTATATCTATCATTACTATAAATTAGAATTAAATGTTATAGTTAAAAAAAAAGAGACAATAATAAAAAAAAATTGTTTGTATCATTTTCATATTTCAAGGGAAAAGTCTTTATATACTTAGTTTTTTAAAATTTTATTTTACTTATATTTTAATTGACAGAGATGAGAGAGAGGAGAGAAGAAATTAAGCGAAGCAAAGAACTTGATTGATTCAAGAGGGAGGAGGTTCTGAGGTGAAGCAAGAAGAGTGAACGTTTGCTGCCTCCTTTGCCGTTCGATTTCCTTTCGAGCAATATTCTTCCCGTCACGCATAATATTTCCACTGCTCGTCATGAAGCTTTCACACACACGGAGGGTCAGAAAGTTTGTACAGATTGATTAAAATGTTTTGTTCGCTTATCTTCTCGTTAACATTGGATCTGGTGTTAGTATGATCAAGGTAAATTAACTTTTTTTCCTCTGTTATTTTCACTTTGAGTACGGTAATAAAAACTCACAAAGAACAAGATATGCCTCCGATTTTTACAGGTTGATGGAAGTTTGAACGATTCAGAGGGACAAATGTTGAGCTTGCGAAGGATTCTCAGTGCCAAGCAGAGCTGTGCCTCCAGGCTTTCCTACTCATGGGGCAGTACACTATGATTTTGACCATTCTGGTTTGTGATTTAAAGTTTATGATGGTTTATTCCCTTTTGTCTTCTCTCTTTATTGAATTTTAATATTTCTCTTTATTCTTCAGCAGCTCTGCTCCACTATCTAGGAATATTGGCATCTCTGGGGATGTTGAATTTATTGATCCTGCAATAATGGAAGTTGGCAAAGGATTTCTATCAGAAAGCTGAATAATCCAGGCTTTGATACAAAGTCAGCTTTATCTCCTCAGTTTACTCCAGCAATAATGGAAGTTGGCAGAGGATTTGCAACATGATTTCTGTGGAATGGGAATTACTCCTTCATGCTTGAATAGGCTGATGAACGTGGCAGAATGATTGATTTAGTGGCTTCGAAGGTGCCCTTAGATGAATATACTTGGATTTGGTTTTATAGTCTCGTTGCATATTGGTGGTTGGCAACCCTAATCAGGTGCATTCTTTGCCCCCTCCCATTAACAGGAACTCATGTCTACTACAAGAGCGTGTGAAAAGGCGGTTTATCATTATGTCAGAAATGAAGGTGTGGTGCAAGAGATTACTGTGATGTTAGAGGTTTAGATTTCCTTTTTGGGTATTTTAACATTGTTTGGTGCTGACTAAGTATGTTTTATGAAATCTGGGCTGATTTTGTACAGCAATGATAAAATACCATTATTTTAACAAGGCGTTTGGTGAAATGCCAATAAAAGTTTTAGCTCTACACAAGGTTGTAATATTAGTTTAATAACAAGGTTTTTATATTAATTAATAGTGTAAGGCTTATTTAGTCGTGAAAAATAAGGACAATTTTATAAATAATCAAACATTATTCGTAGGTGAAGATGTTGAATATTAACTCGCCAGTATATAAAATTGAGGATGTAAACTATAATTTGTTAAACTATAATGGGTGATTACATTATAAACCAAATTACAAGATGTTAAGTTGGTAGACGGACCGAAAAGTTGAAAATGTTGAATTTAGGTAACACAACAACCAGTAAAATAAGTTTCCTGTTGATGCTTAAGTTATTACTGAAGGCGGAGGAAGAGAGTATTAGAGGTTGTGTTATGTGTAATTACAAAAGTGAAAGAAGATAATTACTTAGAAAGAGATTGTACAGGAGATGATAGCTTGAAAGAAGATGAAGATAACTTATCTTTGAGTTCAATGCTATTTACATGGCCCTGAACCTACGTGGATGTGTTCATACAAAGGGCAGAGTGGCAAATTTATTTTCCACTTGTAGTTTTAGACTTTTTAGAAACACAGACATAGAGTAAAAACGACTATATGTGAAAGATGCTTGAGTTCTGGGTTTTATTGGGTTTTATAACATTAATATTTTTTTTTAAGTGCATGAATGTCGAAGTAATAAATAACTTGTTAAGACTAGAGTTGAATTACAATAAGATTAATTGTATAAATTATAAATAACAACAACAACAACAACAATAATAGCAGCAATAATAATAATAATAGCAATAGCAATAGTAATAGTAAAGAAGAAGAAGAAGAAGATAAGAGTTTTGAGATGAAAATTAATATAAGGATTAAAAAATGATAATAATAAATGTCAAGGTTAGAGAATTCACTAATGGAATGTCAAACAAGTATAGTATAAACTCTTATTATTCAATTGGAAACCACACATAAAGGAGGTTCCAATCAGATTATAAATTGTTAACATGTTTACATTAGTTATCTTATTCGAATAATGTTAATACATGTAAATGTTGTCAGGCATTCATGATTATAACTTAAGTTAACTATAAATCAAGTTCCTTTCATAGCTCAGGTGTCGGTTATACTATATAGTATGGTTATGAAAGTGCCAAATATTTGTTACACTAAGTATTATACAACATAAATCTAGATTAACTATTTAATAAGCAAAGTATTAAAAGTGAACAAGATAACAAATACAAAATATATTAGTGTCAAACATTAAGGTTCATGTTAGTATACACCATACTTATTCTTACACCATTAATATAACTTTTTTACCTTGACATAATAAATTTAACTAAACATAATGAAAGAAAGAAAAATAAATAAACAAAATAAGAACATAAATAAGATAAAGGTTAACTAAGTAAAGGAAATGAAATGATAGACATAAATTTGATATTAATGAAAGCAAAACATAAACAATGTAAAACGAGAAAGCAAGAGCATGATCTTAATCTAGAAACCAAGTTGTCTAAATGCATGGCAAATGCCTCCTTTTATAGGCCAAAATTGGGAACTATTGATTTGATGACTAATTGATGAGTGGGTAGCCAACTCTTGACTTGGTGACAATCCTTATCCTCTCTTGT